CACCACCACTATCTGATCTAGAATATTTCATCATCTCAGAAAGAAACTTTGGATTGACTCATTTCTCCCTCCTCCCCCTAGAAAACTCCCAATCTGTTCTCTCTCTCTCTCTCTCTCTCTCTGGATTTCCTTATGTTAGGCTTTTTTTTTTTCCCCCAGTGCTAGGACTACAGGTGTGCACCACCACACCTGGCTTTGTTAGGCTTTTAACATAAACGAATTTTTAGTGTGTCTGACTTCTGTCACTGAGCATAATGCTTTCAAAGTCCATGCATGTTATAACATGTATTTCTACTGCATCTTTTATCTTCGTGTGTATGATGAGTGCATTTATATGAGTTCAGGTGCACACATGCATGCCATTGGACGTGCGTGGAAGTCAGAGGACAGTCTTGGGTGTCGGTTCTCACTTTCCACCTTGTTTGAGACAGCTTCATGTTGGCTGTGCACACCAGGCTAGCTGGCCAGCAGGCTTCTGGGGATTTTCCTGTGTCTACCTTCATTTGGTCACAGGATCATTGGGATTGCAGGTGCAGGTTACTGCATCTGTCTTTATGTAGGTTCTGGGGATTTGAACTCAAGTCCTCATACTTGCTTTGCCCATTAAGCCATTTCCTCAGCCCCCAGTACTTGATTTTTATGCCTAAATAGCGTTCCATTTTATGGATATACCACATTTTATCTAGCAGTTGATGGACAGTTGAGTCAGTTCCATTTTCTATGAATAATGCAGCTTTGAACATTCACATACAATTTCTTTAGTGAGCATATGTTTTCAAAATTCTTGGATCTATATACTTGTAGGAATCTCTGGGATGTGATAATTCTGTTTAACACTTTGAAAAACTGCCAAGCTATTATCAAAGGGGCTTTACCATTTTATAGTCTCACCCTTTTACAGTGTATGAGAGTCCAGTTCTCCCACATTCTTGCCAGCACTTGTTATGGTCCATCTTTTTTATTATAGTTATGTTGGTAGATGTGAGGCAGGATATCACTGTGAATTTGATATGTGTTTCTCTAGTGACTAATTCTGTTAAACATCTTTTTGTGTCCTATTTTTATAATGTACTTTTACAAAAAGAAAAGAAAAATGTGTTGTAATTAATTTTTCTGCATTTAACTAAGAGTCTGAAGTTTACCTTGGTTTTAGAAACTATGAGCCAGAATACAAAGGCTTTTATCCTATTGATTATCTGTGTTGCTTCTGACAGAACTGGAAGAGGCTACATTTGTGATTAAATGGCTGGGGATGAGGAAGAAAGCTGACTCCTTGGGTAACTCCTGGGGATGATAGATAGGCTCAAAGATTCATCCTGTCCTAAGAATGTTCTGAATTGCAAAGAATCTCCCATTTTGTGCTGTGATTCATTATCCCTCTCTCTCCACGTGTCCTTGCTGACATTATTGCCCATTATTTCTGTCCTTTACACATGTCACTACACCCTCCTCTCAGGTGCTCCAACAGGGCTTCTGAGGCTTGTAGCCTCACCCCTCAGCACCCAGGGCCTGGGCAGTAAGAGGTAGCTGCAGTGGTGTAGCTCTGTTTTTCAGAAATAGAAACCTGAAGATCGAGTGTCATCCTGCCCAACCTCCTGGCCACTGTGGACAAAAGTGCCCTGCCATCCTTTCACAAGAAACAGGTCTATGTATTGAAGTGGCAGGTGGTGTCCCATCACCTCCCTTCACCAAGGATAAGGCTAATTGGGACATGTCCAACTCCAGAGCCATCAGCATCAAAGCTAACCTGCAGATAGTCCCAGTATGCCCAGGCTGCTTGAGACTCCAGGCCTGGGATATGTCCCAATTGCTGACAGAGCTACAGTTCAGGTGAAATGATACCAAATCTATGTGTGTGCATGTGTATGTGTGTGTGCGTGTGCGTGTGTGTGTTTGTTCTTTATGCATTCCTGGAAACAGAAAGGATTGGTCCACTGTCTTCTGAGCATCATCCAGAGTTAATACTTTCAGAGGGACCAGGCCAGATGTGGTCCATAGAGATGGAGGCCACATTTAACATACAACATGCCACTTAACCAACTTCCTGTGTGCGCCCTGGGGTGTACTTTGGAGAGAAAGCACCAGAAGTTTTTTAATGTAGGAAATGATTCCTATCGTGCATTAACACCATGTCACAGAGAACTGTCTTTTTCTCGGTGTTTCGGTTCTTTGCAGATTTTACCATGCCCTGCCCCCTTAGAGGCTTGTGGTGTTCGTCTTTTCCTACAAGAATGGTTGCCTTTGACTGAGGAGTCTCCCTTCTTGGTAGCCATCAAAGCTCCCTCCTAGCCATCTCCCCTGAACAAACCCTTGCTCTTCACCCTGACCCAAAAATCTAGGACAGGCAGGGATAGGTGAGGGGATTATATCTTTCCTTTCAAGATGCTTTAAGCAGAGAACTAGTTGGGCAGCAGTTAAGAAGAATGTGTGGACTGGGTCCCCAGGGACTCACAGACTGTTTCTTCCTCCTCCTATGTCACCGATAACTCCAGTGTCAGTGTGTGACTAGGGCTTCCCAGCTTGTGTCACCCCTTACTTTTGGTAGCCATTTTATCACAGAGGATCCCTCTCAGCCGTGAGTGCCTGGGAGCCAGTGCCTGGCCACAAACAGTGGCCCTGGGGTGATACTTCCCAGGGGGTGATTAGACACAGACCAAAGTTTATGCTGTAGCAGGAGCTTGGGCCACGAGGTCATTATGGGAGCAGTGGGACGGCTAGGGCAGCAGAATATGTCCCCCTCAGTGGCTTCCTCCCTATTGGGAGGAGCTTAATAACCAGGAGCTTAAATAAGAAAGGGCAAACTGGAGTCTGCTTTATCAGCCCCAGAATTGGGTCTGTGGTAGCCACTGATTTGTGAAGCGAATACGATCAGTTCTAAATGATGTAAAGGACACTTCCACCACCATGCTCCTAGTGGCTCCTAGAAGCCACTGAATGATATGACTGTGACTTCACTTCTAGTCGGCTCCATAGCAGTAGCCTCTGTCCCAGGAGCATTGCTTTCCTTCCTAGTGAGAGTGCCTGAGCTTCTTGCCACTGTTCCAGCCACCGCTTGAGTCTTGGGCCCCAGGCAGGGGCAGACTCCTTAGCCTGTTAAGGGTCTTCTGGGCCTGAGAAACAGTTCCCTCGTCTGTAGTAGAGGCAGATGCAGGAGTGAGTGACCCCAGAGTGGGCTACAAGGAACCAGGAGGGTCTCTTCATGTCTGCTGTGCAATTCCATCCCCCTACCAGGAAAGATCCACCCTGCAATTTCTTTGTGACAAGTCCTTAGAGATGGTCACTGTTCTGAGCTGGGAGTAAGGTGTGTCTTCTCTTTCTGAATGTTGGACATCTGAGCTAGGATATCTGTGCTGCTCAAAGTCTGAAGACCTACCTGAAGGATAGGGGATAATTTAAATTATAAATACAGTTGATGGGCATTTGATTTTTTTTTATTAAAATAAGCAAGTACTTCTGTAAAAGTGAAGAAAGAACAGAATCCACATTGAGTATCGGCTTTGACTACAGCTATAGAAAAGGGTGGGGATGAAAATGCCAAAATACAGCATTAGGGTTCCTGAGAAAATGTAAAGGTGAAGGGTTCCTGTGCACTTCGAGATTTCCTCATCATTTACGTGAGCATATATTAACTTTTATAATTAGAAAAATGCTTTTTTTAATTTAAGTGGGTTTGTGTGTACATGTATGTGTGCAGGCGCACAAGCATGTGGAAGCCGTGGGTCTGCACTGGGTCTTCCTCTCTTGCTGCCTACCATATTTTTTGAGACACAGTCTCTTACTGAACCTGGAGCTCTCCAATTTGGCTGGACTGGCTGGCCAGCAGCCTCCAGGAATCCTCTACCATGCTCAGCATTTTTATGTGTGTGTTGGGGCTCAAACTCAGGTCCCCGTACTTATAACAGCAAGCACTTTACTGACTGAACCATCTCCCCAGTCCCTTAAGTCTTAAAGAAAAATAAGTATATTGGGTATAAGTGTAGAAAAGCCCCCAGACTGGCCTCTAGGCAGCTCTCCTCCCCTGCATAAACCACATTAAAAGTCTTTCTGGTCTCCAATTCACTTGATGCCTACTTTTGTAGACAAGTAGAGAAGTTCTTCCTGCTTTCCACACCTCGCTGTACCTTCCTCCTGGTTAGGCTTATAACTCTCATGAATACATTTTTAGAGATCTCTGTTGCATATTGTCCTAGTTTGTTCTTCATTGCTGTGACAAAATACTATGACCACTACCAACTTGGGGAGGAAAGGGTTTATTTAGCTTACATATCCCAGGTCACAGTTCATCCGGGAGCCCAAGGTAGGAAACTCAGGGCAGGAACCTGGAGGCAGGAGCTGGAGCACAGGCCATGGAGGAACGCTGCTTACTGGCTTGCTCTCCTGGCCCCTGCTCAGCCTGCTTTATGCAACACAGGCCCACCTGCCCAGGGGTGGCCCAGCCCCTCCCACATCACTCATCAAGAAGATGCCCCTCAGACATGGCCACAGGCCATTTCAGTGGAGGCAATTCCCCAATTGTGGCTCCCTCAACCCATGTGTGTCAAGTTGACACTAAAGCTATCCAGCACACATATTTTCATTAAACATAATTTAATTTGAAGGCCTGTGGTCCACATTTCTTATTTTCTCTGGGTCACCAGGGCTGTGTGTGACTAGAGTAGCACTCTATGGGGTGCACATTGTAGGACCCACCTCAGACACCTCCTGAGCCCATCACTGCACAAATCTGACTGGTAGAGTGAAGGTGCAGTGACCCTCAGGTCATGGTAAACTTTCCTGCATTGTTTCACTTCTCAGTATTAGGAGCAGCTCTTCCTTTGCTTTGGCCTGTGTGCTGGTTACTAAGCACTGCCTGACCTGGAGGGAGGGGCTCCATTGTCGAAGCATGACATTGAAGACAGGGAGTATCTCTCTGTCCTTAGAGTGCCGGAGAGAGCCGGGAGGTGCCAAAGGCAGCCCTGCATTCATTCTTGTTCTGGGGAAACTAGAACAGAAGAAACAAGAACAACCAGACCAGGAAATGCCTTCCAAAACGTTTGCCTTTTTCCAAGTTTGATCGGTTTGGGGATTTGCTGTCACTAAGTAGAAAAATAAGCAGACCATTAGCAGTCAGACTTGAGTCCAGTTCTACCTATAGGGATAAACATGGGAGGCTAGAACCCCTGTGGGCTGTGATTTATGTTTTCAGTTATTTTTTATTTTGTGTCTTTATTATGGGGTTACCTTCTTGCACCCCACCAAAGCCCTGCTTCCCAGCAGGCTATTCTGGACTGGCCTGTACGTGTAGTGGTTTCCTTGTACTGCCTGTGTGGCCCATCCCTCACTAAATGTCACCTCCATTAATTAGTTCAGTGGACAAGATAGATCTATCACCAGCCCTCCGTAAGGACAGGCTGCCTGGCTTACATCACCAAGTAGGGTACACAGCCTGGCTGGCCTGATTCCTCATTCTCTGCACAAGGGAGCCAGCTAACCCTAGGAGACTTAGTTTGCAGAGAGGAGCTGTTCCTAAGCCCTGGCTAGAGGCTATGGGAGGCTTCTCCCCAGGTCAGGCCACATGGCTGCATACTAACTGCATCTGCTGCTCCCTGGCCTGCGCTGCTCGGATCATAGAAGGACATGGAGGTGACAGAAGAGCTGAGTCTTCATTACTTCTCTCTCCCCCTCTGCCTGCAGGTGTTTGAGGAGCTGTGGAAGGGTGAGGGTAAGACTCCAGCCCAGATTGTTTCAGAACAGGAGCTGGAACTGATGCAGGATCAAGAGGCCCTGGAGCAGCTCTGCCATGCCGCCATGGAGGGACACCCCCAAGTGGTAACTGTCTCATACAGGAGCCAGGTCTTCATGCAGCAGGAACAGGGGCCAGCTTGACACCTGCCCACTGTTCCTGCTACAGCCACAGGCCCTTCCTCATGAGGACCGGCCTAGCCCTATCAATAATCCCTACATATGTGTTAGCACTTCTGTTAATGTCCAGAGATGAAATTAGATGAAAAACACGCTTCATTTTCCTGTGAGGAAACTTCCTCTCCACTGTGTACTCTCCATGGAGTTAGTTTACAAGGGTATTTTCAAGTTCTCCAAGCCCAGTATTTGACCTGCAGGGCCTGTCACTCTCTCCCAGAGTTGTCATTTACAGTCCCTCTGGCCATTTCTTCATAAGGAGGCACTTAAGTTTCATGGCCTTTGAGAGGTGGAAGGCAGAGATGAAAATGATTTGTAAATGACTGAGAAAACCTTTTGACAGGAACATGGCTGAAAACCAAGTTATTTTTTGTTCTTAATATGGCACAAGATAAAAAATTACGCCAAGTTGAAGAGCCCCCCCACAACCCACCCAGGATCTAATCATATTATCTAGAGATGATTTTCAGCAGGAAAGAAATTACTAGTATCACTTTCAGAATAATGCCCACCCACCCATCAGTGTGCAGGGGCACTAACAACTCTGTAAAGAGCCCTTGATCAGGAAAATGAGGCCAGGCTGTTCTAGCAATCTTCGTCTTTCTGCCCCATCTGCAGTCACTGATAAGGACACACTTAGTTTCAGGCTCATCCTACGGCACTTGAGTACCCCAAAGAGAGAGGCCAGCCCTGCGGTCCTGTCAGTGGTTGTTTGATAGGAATCCACCACCCTCCTGCCTTTGCCACCGCTACCTGCCATATCCCCAAGCCCGAGTCTGGGGGCCTGCCTGCCTCATGGCAGTAGAGAATTTGAGAGGCACCCTGTCTGATTAGATGTGGTGCTCCATCACATGGATGACCGACTCAGATTCTGTCCTGTGTCATTGTGGTACCCCAGAGGAGAGTGTCCTGGTTCCCACGTGCTGCCTTCACTGGCTGTCAGCAATCACTTGTGACCCATCACGGTGGTCTTGTTCGTTTTAATCAGAAGGCAGCGGAACCGAATCCCCTTTTGACAGGAACCTAGAGACCTCCTCAGAAGTTAATCCCCTTCCTCTGTTTCCTCTCCTCAGTTTACATCTTGCATGAGGGAAGAAAGAATCTGAATTCAGTTTGTAGCCAACTGAAACCTGGAGGATTTTTCGCATGAGTCTCTCTATTTTCACCCCCTAACATCTCTCTTTTCAGGTAATAGATGTGAAGGAGGGAAACCCCAAAGCTATAAATAAGCTAATTGGGTTGGTCCGGAAAGCCAGCCTAAGCCGAGCAGACCCAGTTCTGATAAAGAAAATACTGGAGAAGAAGCTGTCCTCGTGAGATAAGTCCCTCTGCCTGACAGAGGACAGTGCGTCCCCAAGAGCAGCAGCCCGCGAGGACTGGCATCCCTGTGCTGTACAAGTTGTGTCTCTGTCACTGGCCAGGCCACACCTCCCAGGAGATGACGTCTTACACTCATGCTTCTCTCCTGAGACGCTGTGTCCTGAGAGGCAGCTTTAAACCAGCAGCCCTGCCATCTGCTTCAATGACTGGAAAGAGTTCCATGCTGGCGGCAGCCAGGGTTAGGAGATAGCGTGTTCTACTGTGGAGTGATTCTAAATGGAATAAAGTGTGTATTCCAAACTCTTCTAAGAAAATTGCTCACTGTGTAGTTCCTTCCAGAGATACCTGTGAGCACCTCCTGTGGGTCAAGAAGTGTTCCCCATCCTGGGGGTTAGTGTGAGGAAGGGAGACTGAGCTGGAGATGGTATATTTAGACGTAAAAATGGGCTAAGAAGAAAACACAACAAAATAAACTGATGCCTCATAAACATCTTGTTCAAAGAGGGTTAGGGAAGGAGGATATTAGCAGTAACCATACATCTGCCGACTACAGGTGATAAATGCCTGGTCAGCTCCCTAGGCATAGATCTGGGAATCAGTGAGTTAAAGTGACAACAGAAGTTTTCAAATAAATTTAATGAATAAAATATATACTGAAATAGCCCATAAAAATTGACACTTCGAAGATTATATAGTTGACAACTCCTGTACCCAGCACTCAGGCCAAAAAAAATCCAAAGAAAAAAATCTGTAACACTAAGTTGATTTGTTTTACCTGAAAAGAGTAAGATTATAAACCAGTAAATCAAAATCTTGACCTTTAACTGTACTTGAGGTGCAGCTGACAGTGGTGATGAGGGCCTGCTGCCTCTGCCCCCAGTCCCATGATATCTATTCCTCTCAGGAGCCCTAGGTGCCCCCTTATTCCTTACATGCCTTGCACCTCAGACCACACTCCCTCTAATGACTAGTTTTTAGAAGTATTTATCAATCTGTGACAGCAAGGAAACATCCTTGGAGGCCTTGAATGTAAGAACATTGCTCCTGGGGCAGCTGAGGAATGGGAGGACAGCAGACCCCGTCTCCATCATCAGATGCATTCCAGATTTCCTGAACGGGTAGGAAAGTAACCCCTCACCAGGCAGAAGCAGAGATAAGAGTGGAAACCAGTTCTGTGGTTTATTTCAGATAGGCAGGAGGAGACGGCATTTTTTTAAAAATTCCAAAGTAAATTAATGACTCAGAACTGTAGGAGAATGTTACCTTGCCCCGGAGGCCATGGGCCCCACACTATTGCAGCGATGATGACTACTAACTGTAAAGTGATTTTCAGTAAACCTCTCTACAAGAGAGAACGGACGAGTCCTGTCTCGCTCCACAAATCTCTGTGCACAGTGAACAAAGGTGTGCAGATTCGAATATGGCAGGATCTTTATTTCATGAGGAAAAATAAGGTTCCGTTTTGGAAATTCTTTTTTCCCTAAAAGTTCTGGCTTCTTGGTCATCAAGCCTTTCAGAAAACACTCCGAAGGAGTCCTGAGACTGTTTCAAGGCCAGGGCTTTCCTCGTTCAGGTGCAGCCAGCTCCAGGCAGGCGTCCACAAGTGATTTTGTCAGTGAAAACAGCATATGGATTGGGTATTCCCAGAGGAAAGTGCCACTCGCACACTCGGTCTTTACAGGTCTTCTGCACGCCCATTCGGTGCTGACAACTGCTGTGTTTTCTTCGTTGTCAGCTCTTGCAGTCCTGAGAACCAGACTTCGTGTGTGCTACAGAGGAGAAAGTACAGCTCTGACTAAAACCTGACTAGGTATATTCAAAAGGTGTGTACGTAACACCCTAAGAAATTCAGAGAATGGCCTACCTGGTACATGGGCCTCAGTGAAATAGGGTTGTATATTCTTGCACTAGTGTGAATTTAGTCTGGTTCTGTTTGTACCAGTTAGGGTAAATCTCATTAAAATGTATGAGCTAGCACTATACCTGAAGTCACTGCCACCTGTCAATGGAATCCACTTACCTGTGGCTAGGTGTTTGAAGCCAAAGGCAGTGGCTGATAGTGGAAAGTGCTAGAAATTGACTTATTTCTCATCCCACCAGAACCAGTTCTGCCTGGTCATGTCCCAGCCACATAGGCACTGCTTTGTGGTTGCTTGGTGCAGGCCCCAGCTCTCCGCACACTACCAGACACAGGAGAGATGAGTAAAAATTCACCTAGCTGCCAGATGTGGTGCCACACACCTCTAATCCCCGAAGAGGCAAGTAGATCTCTTGAGTTCCAGGCCAACCAGAGCTACATAATGAGACCTTATCGCAACGAAAGACCAAAAAATACATCTAACTTAAGAAACAAATGAATACACAGCTTTTTGTGCCCCCTCTTTTTGTAAGGTAACTACCAAGATTTTAAATCCTGGGTCACGTGTCCAGGAAGCCATCTTTGTGCATGAATGTGGCTTCTATCCCTTTCTCAAGGCACAAACAGAAAAAAATGCTATCAGTATTCTACCAAGGTGAAAAGGTTTTAGATGAGTTCCACCCCTGCCCTTTTTAAAAATGTGATTATTACTAATCTTAGAAAAAGACTGTGAAAGACTGAAGAATGAACATCTTCCTTAAATTGGTTATTTCAATATTAAAGCTTATGGCATGGCCCACAATTTATACTGTAGCTTTAATTTAGATTGAATTTAGTTGTATCATTTCAAGAACTCCAAAGAGTAATGGGTGGAAATCTCTACCTCCACCTGGAAGGCCATGTAATTTGCCTGTTGCCAAATGCAGTGTGGACGTGGCTGCTGTGCTGTTTGGGGATTGTTTTTCAACAGAGCTGACCTCCGAACAGTGAAGTAGAAGGCATGTGCATGTAGCCTCCCTCACTCCTTCAAGTCAAGCAGTTGAGCAAAAATCATTTAAGCAAAATCATCAACACCAGATTCCCTTCTGTCTGCAGGGACAAAGGGAGGCCTGGTTATTGGTGAGCCCTTCGTACACTTGTCCCAGTAAAATGTACTTGACATACATAGAAGTACAGACTTGTGCAGCGTTAGCTCTGTGAAATTTATAATCTGGCCTAAGAGCGTCTGTCACTTTTCCAGGTTCTGAAGTGACACGGTAAATCTAAGCTCCACAAAAGAAGCCTGAAATGAGCCCTGAATACACAAGGACAGAACCCTGCAGTCAGGTCTGTTCTTGTGTGGGCAACAGGGAGCTAGGTTAACCCACAACTTTCATCTCCAAAGACAGAACACAACTCCCTGTGACCCAAGAGGCTAGAAGAGCGAGTCCTAGCTTAAATGATCAGTGTGACGGCTCTAGAGTCAGTCTCTCTCTCTCTCTCTCTCTCGCTCTCTCTCTCTCTCTCTCTCTCTCTCACACACACACACACACACACACACACACACACACACACCCAC